CCAGAACAACTTACTAACTCATCCTTCACTGTCTCCTCCTGTTCCCACTGCCCTGTCCTGGCTCTCCATAGCTTCCAGATAACAACTTGCATTTGCATCCTTGATTTGAAATCTACTCCTGGGAGAATCCAAACCCTCAGTCTTCTTTAGAATGCATGTCTGTTATAAACCCTTGTTAAATTCAAGAGAAGACACAGCTTTTAAACATGGAAAGTAAGACGTGAAAGAGAATTTATGGATTGGGATTCAGTTCTATGAATCCACTCTCCGTGTGTCTTAAGTTGTTTCCTTGATGTAAGGAAGGGAACTTTATCAAGAAATCTTGATGCATTGCTTCTGCTCTTCCTGCCCCTTTCCTTTCTTTATGGTTTTGGCATCAGAAAGTAGGGTGTTTTCAATAAAATACAGAGTTTATTTATGCAGAGGCTGAGGATCCTAGAGATTTAAGAGCATATGAGAGTACTAGGAGCCACAGCAAAAACTACTGATGAGGCACAATAAGGGAAGGTATCAATATCAGTATTAGAAACCTGGACTAATTTTGAAAATAGTGATCTTTCGTGACTGGATGTGGTGAGTCATGTTTGTAATCCCAACACTTTAGGAGGCCAAGGTGGGAGGATCCCTTGAGCCCAGGAGTTTAAGACCAGCCTGGACAAGATGGTAGGACTCTGTCTCTACAAAGAATTTTATTTAAAAATGCAGTTGGCCGGGTCCAGTGGCTCACCCCTGTCTGTAATCCCAGCACTTTGGGAGGCCGAGGCAGGCAGATCATGAGGTCAGGAGATCGAGACCATCCTGGCTAACACGGTGAAACCCCGTCTCCACTAAAAATACAAAAAATTAGCCGGGCGCGGTGGCGGGCTTCTGTAGTCCCAGCGACTTGGGAGGCTGAGGCAGGAGAATGGCGTGAACCCAGGAGGCGGACGTTGCAGTGAGCCGAGATCATGCCACTGCACTCTAGCCTGGGTGACAGAGCAAGACGCTGTCTCAAAAAAGAAAAAAAAATGTAGTTGTGTGTGGTGGTGCCACATACCTATAGCCCTAGCTATTTGGGAAGCTGAGGCAGAAGGATCCCTTGAGCCAAGGAGTTTGAGACTGCAGTGAGCTATGATGATGCCACTGTACTCCAGCTTAGGCAACAGAGCAAGACTTTGTCTCTTAAAAGAGAGAGAGAGAGAGAGAGAGAAAGAAAGAAAGAAAGAAAATAATGATCATTTAATGTGAAGAATCTTAAATGTTTTATTAATCTCTTAACTACTGTGACTACATTTTGGGAATCAATATTCGGAATCAAGAATTAATTAGAGGGACTCATTTTCACAAATATTTTGTAATTCTTGATATGAGCATATACTCTTCAATTATTTTTAATTTCAATACCATCATATATCAGTTGAAAACTATATGATGTGTTTGATGTTCATCTTCTCAAGTGGCATTCTCTCTCTCTTTCTCTCTCTCTCTTTCTCTCTCTCTCTCTCTCTCTTTCTCTCTTTTCTTTTAGAAACAGGGTCTCCCTATGTTGTCTAGACTGGTCTGGAACTGGAACTCCTGGGCTCTAGTGATCTTTCCACCTCAGCCTCCCAAGTAGGTGGGATGACAGGTGGGAGACACTGCACACGGCTCATTTTCTTTTTTGATAGATGGTTCGTTATTTAAAAAGCACCATGACCAGATTCCTGTGCCATGCTTCAAGCCTCCTAAAACACCTAGATATTATTTACCGCTGCTCTTCTAGATTTCTTCATCCACATATCCTTACTCATAATGGGCTGTAACTGACCTTTAGCAAAGGTGACGCTGGACCTTAGCAGATGTGTTCTAAAGCAACCAAGATCAACAGAAACACCATCCTACAAGTATGATAACCTCATAGCTCTGTATATTCACTCATTCCCCTTTCACTTTGTGTCAGAATTTCATATTTTTTAAAATTTTTTATTTACTCAGTGGTTAGATTCTTGAAAACTGGTGGGTATCTAGCAATGCTTCATTTAAAATAGATAAATGGATGTCCTCATCAGAAACACGGATAAGTCAGAAAATGTATTCTGGTAGTTTATTTTTGTTTAAAGCCAGTGCTATCCTTTACTGGTTGCTATTGTAACTCATTCTCAAGTTGACGTCATTGCTGTCCCCTGGCTTTAAAAATTAATAAAGCCCAGTGATCTCAACTTTACTTCTCTATCCCCTACTTTGTTCTTTAATTTCACCACAGAATAGATACACAAAAAATGATTATTGAGTAAGTGGATAAATGGATGAATGTGAACAGTGAACAATTTAGGGAAAATAAATTTTAAAAATACTTATTAAGAAACAACCAAAATTGCTAACAATGTATGACAAAGACAGACACATCTGACCACTCCACTCCTGGTACACACTCTTCTCCATTGCCGGTCTTTCAGGACAGTCTTGGGGAAGTGCAGAGACATTTCAGAGTAGCACATTGATCTCTACATCTTTGTCACATGTTTCTCTGATGGTGCTTTCAGTGAGGTGTGGTTAGCAATCCATTGTCTGAGGTCTGTTATTTTCCGGTGTGGTAAGGAACCTCAATATTGGCTCCAAAGGGCACAACCTTTCGTGGTCTTCTTCTGAGAGTGTCCCTGTGATGTTAGCTGATGTTCTGCAGAGATCACAAAGAATAAACTCACACCTATGCACCATCAGGCTGCAATGGGAAGTTAGGTGCAAGCAGAAGGGGGATCGTGTACTGGGATTAATGTCATGCTGCATTTGTCAACACAATGCCTTCTCAACATTTCACAAGCAATGCGAAACATAGGACTGTGCAATCCACATGTTTATATTTTAAAACAGTTGAAAGTGGAAATTCAATTGTTGTCATGTAAGAGGCTGGCATATACATTACTACATGTCTTTGCAGTAAAACTTACCAAGGATTCTGCAACTATCACCCCCAAAGTGCAATATGAAGCTTTCGTTTATAAAAATTACATATTAAAGACATAAAACCACCCAAAACCAGCCTAACTGTCCTTGTTTTCAATTAGAAATATATTAAGTTGGAATGTTGTTGAGAAGACCCAAATTGTATTCCCAGGTTTGCTGATTAATTTCCTCAGGTTGGCTGTATGATTCATTTCCATAAGCTTATTATTCAGGGGGAGTGAGTGTTATTACTGCAAAAGAAATAATGATTCAGAAAGGTAATTCTATCTTGACACATTTCCAGGACTTTTTGCAGATGCTTCATACCTTAACCAAGACTGGAGGAATAAGAGTTTTTGAAAGATAATTATAACTTCTTTCTTTCCTGTCCATGTTATTGACTCTTCATACACAATAACAGAGGTGTTTCAATGAAATAGCCAGATTTCAAGTTCAACTTATTATTTTTTCCTTTCTTATCGTTCTGTTTTCTGTAAAATTTGCTCTCTTTCCCTTGGTATAATGTATTTCCTCCTTTTCTTTCTTCCCTCCACCCTGCCTTTCTGTCTACCTATTTTTCTTCTTCACAAACTCATTCATTTTTAGTTATTTTGTATTTTCAGCATATGGCTTTATTATCCTTTATTTCCCATTGTTATGTTCATTAGCTCTAAGTTTATGATTCTTAACTTTTTTTTCTTTTTTTTTTTTGAGACAGCCCTCACTTTGTTGCCCAGGCTGGAGTGCAGTGGTGTGATCTCAACTCACTGCAACGTCCGCCTCCTGAGTTCAAGCGATTCTCTTGCCTCAGGCTCCTGAGTAGCTGGGACTACGGGTGTGCACCACTGAGGCTGGCTAATTTTTGTATTTTTTGGTAGAGACGGGGTTTCACCTGTTGGTCAGGCTGGTCTCGAACTCCCAACCTCAAGTGACCTACCTACCTTGGCTTCCCAAAGTGCTAGGATTACAGGCGTAAGCCACCATGCCCGGTCTGATTCTTAACTTTTAGTTCCTTGTCCTTTTCTCTCTCATCATCTTCTTCCACAGTAAACTCCTATGTCCCTGATCTTGTTCAAGAAATGATGCATCTGTAATTTGGGGATTAAATAATATTATTAATAGCTCACCCTCACCAGCCAGAAAGTGTAACTGGAAGAAAGGCTTTTGGGGAACTGTGTTTACTCATCAAAACCCCGAGTTTTCTCCATCTCTGCCCAGCAGCCCCATTTCAAGGCAGATAAATCATGTCACAGTAAAGCAGGCGTGTCTCCTTGCTCCTGTCCAGAGAGAAAGTCCATATATCCATACTTCCTTTTCTTTCTTCAATTGACTTCTTTGCTTTACTTTTTTTTTATCTTATTTTCTAGTTTTTACTTAATCATGCTTTTCTTTACTGTCTGTATTATTTTCACTTTCTATTTTGCTTTTGGTATTTCTATTACTTTCTTAGGTTTCTTTTATTTTTTCCTTTACTTTTGTGTCTTATGGCTTTTGATCACTTGCATTTTTGTGTTCTCATTGTTTATATTCCTTTCTTACCTTTCTTTCTTCCTTAACTACATTTTTATTTTCTAATTTGTTTTCCTTAATCATGATTTTTTCTTTTGATTTTAATGATTCCCTTTCCCTCCTTCTCTCCTTAATTTTCACTTTATCTGTTCTTACTTTCTTTTTTTATTTTTAAATATTTTTGCCTTCATTCATCCACATCCCCCTCTATTTTTTTTCTTTCTCTTAACATTATTTCTGTTTCTTTACATTTTCTATTCTTGACTTTTTTTCTCCCTTATTTTTTCTGTACTTTCTCTTTTGGGTTATTTTCTGTCAGCACTTTCTTTCCTTTTGCTTTTCATAAATTAGCCTATGATTTTTAATTTTATCTAAGATTTACGTACTTCCATTTTTTCTCTAGTTTGTTGATTCTTTTCTTAATTTTTCTATATATATTATTTTGCTTTATTTTTCCAATTACAATATTTCCTAACTTTTTTACATTCTTACATTTTTTCACATTGCATAATTTTATTATTTGCTTTCCATATCTTGTATTTAATTTTTAATTCTTATTTTTATATTTTATCTCAGTTGCATTTTTATAGATGTACTACAATGCCCTGCTGGGCATCTTAAAGAACAAGGCATTGTCCTCTGCAGACACCCAGGCTGCAGACTTCAAGGACTGGAAGAGGAGCTTTTCCTCTTCTCTCTTCTCTATGCAGACACAATGTGTAGCAGCAAATGTGTTACAGATGAAGGACAGAAGCTGGGGTAAGTGGATGCTTATCCTCCCTTCCTATCCAGATGAGAGCCACAGCAGCCCCTCAGTCCCCAGGCCTATTTTTTCCCACTCACCATGCTGTTTTCCAAGTTGAGGCTTTTAGGGCAGTAGGGAATTCTGCCTTATTTTAAATAAACCTCTCCAAACTGCTGCTGCTGCTGCTTTAAAAGAGAAAAAAACAAAATCTTTCATCAGAAGACAGAGCATTATGTTTTACACTAAACTTGAGGTGTGTAATGCATTTCTCTCTGTGAGAGGCAGAACCTCACTGACATAAACGCACACCAAAGGGTGAATAAATGATTATCATATTAATTTCTCAGAGCTGGATGTTTTGGGAGAAAAGCAGAAAGCTTCTTCGTAACAGGGAGAGAGCCCTGGGAAGAGAAAAGGACAGAACACAGAACCTGGAGAGAAATGACTTCTCCATCTGAAGATTATAAGATACAGGCTGGATTCATTTCTGGAAATGGCCACTTTCACGTACAAAGGGCTTAAGAGCTTACATGGCACATCGGCGTACATTGCACTTAATTTATTGAAATTGCTTACAACCTATACCTCCTTTATCAAATGCTTTTCAAGGACATAGTATGAAGAACACAGTACTGTTAAAAATAAAGGAAAGACAAGTCCCTGTATTCATAGTAATATTCTAGTTGAGGGATGAGAGATCATAGACAAATAATTGCATTCTGTGTAGTCACAGCGTAAAAAGACATTGACAAAGAGGTAGAGCAGAAGAGGCAGACAGTGTCCTGCAGAAAAGAGGAACTGTGTGTACTCCTTTGAGAGGGCAGCTACAGAAGCTTTCTGATAAGGTGACATTTGAGCAGACGGAGAGAATGATTCATGCATGAGTGTCTGTGCTGGGGGAAGGGGGAGGGATTACAGGGCTAGGGAGTAAGGTTGAGGGTCCTAGGATTGCAGGGCTAGGGAGTAAGGTTGGGGGTTCTATGACAGAAACAAGAAACAGCAATGAGGGGCTAGTGTTGCTGGAGTGGAGTGAGAACAGGAGTCAGGTGTAGGGCAAGACATGGGGAGGGTGGCCTAGAGCTGACCATATATAGGCCTTGAGCCCATAATGATGACTTCAATGTTGACTCTGAGATGAGAGCATTATTAGTGATCTTGAGCATAGGCATGCTATGATATGACCTTAAATAAAGAAAGAATGTTCCGGCCGGGCGCGGTGGCTCAAGCCTGTAATCCCAGCACTTTGGGAGGCTGAGACGGGTGGATCACGAGGTCAGGAGATCCAGACCATCCTGGCTAACACGGTGAAACCCCGTCTCTACTAAAAAAATACAAAAAACTAGCCGGGCGAGGTGGTGGGCGCCTGTAGTCCCAGCTACTCGGGAGGCTGAGGCAGGAGAATGGCGTAAACCCGGGAGGCGGAGCTTGCAGTGAGCTGAGATCCGGCCACTGCACTCCAGCCCGGGCGACAGAGCAAGACTTCGTCTCAAAAAAAAAAAAAAAAAAAAAAAAAAAGAATGTTCCAGATGTTGTTCAAAATAGAACAAAGCAGAGCAAAAGAGGAATCAGGTAGCCCAGTGAGGAAGCTTTTAAATTTCTCAGGTGATAGATAGTGGTAGAAACTAGGGTGATAGCCATGAAGACAAGATTCTGAGGACAATTTGGAGATGGAGTGGGTAGACTTTACTAGTGCATTGGATAACACATGAAATGTGGGAGAAATAAAGAAATACTGAGTTATTTCAAGAGTTTTTGGTTGACCATCTAGGAGGATGGAGTTACCACTAATGGGGATAGTGAATGGAGTGAGGGAGGAGAAAACAAGCAGTAGTGAATCCAGATCCTGTGGGATGTAAAGTTTGCAGAATTTGGCAGCTCCCTTAAAAAAAGAAAAAAAAAGAAAAAGAACTCTCAAAACTCTCAATTAGCTACTGGAAGTTAGAAGGAATCAGTGCAAGTGACGGTCCTGAAGCTTCAGCTTCGTTAACTCCATGCTAGATCTTCTGAAACTACCATTTCAGATTCGGGTATTTTGAGCTTGAGTTACTGTGAAATATCAAAATAGAGTTGTTCCCTGATAGCTCTTTATTGGAATCAGGGTTCATAGATTTCAGTGAGAAAGTTCTCATCTTCTAGAGGGCATTAAAATTCTGGAAATAGAATGAGCAAAAAGCCAGAGCTATGAGCTTTGGGCACTCCAAGGTTTAGATACCAGAAAAATGCGGAAAAGGCCGCTATTGAGGTAGGAAGAGGACCAGTACTCTCCATTTTTGACAAATGCAAAGATCAACTCCTGCAGTCTGAGTAGGATGTGGCATCTCTCACAATCACTAATGGCCGGTGAGGAAATGCTTATAAATAGTACCTGCCATTTTTTTCCATGACTTGTTCCTATCATGCCTACCTTGTTGAAATAGTTTGTTTCCACGACTTCTTCTTCATTAGCCCTTTTTACTCATTGGTGCTGCTTCCACTGAAATTCTATTTTGAAGTGCTCAGAGCCCAGCTCTGGATGTCCTTCTTCTATATTACATTCTCTCTCATCCAGTCTTATACCTTAAAGTAGAATCATATCTACTCAAGACTCCAGATTTATCTCTTCAGTGCTGACCAGTCTCCTGAAGTCCAGACTTACTTAGAAAATCTCCTGTATGACAGTTGAACATCATGTATGAACTTACATTAAACGTCAAAGGCCCAAAATAGAATAACTGATTTTTGTTGATAAAACTCTTTTCCATTTCTTCCTCAGTAAATGGCTTACCACACACCCAGTTATCCAAACACAAAACAAGAGGTTTTCTTGATTATTCTCTTTGTTTCACTCCAAAACGCAAATCTGCCAGCAAGTCTTATGTGTCTATTTATTTGCACTTACCATTGTTAACCCGCTATCTTAGGTCAACATCATCTCTTGCCTGGACAGCTATAACATTACAGAATGTCTGGCTTCCCTCTGAGCTACCTGTATTCCACATTTCACCAGAAACCAGGGAGATGATTCAGAACATGGCTTAGGTTATATCACAGCAGTGAGGAAAAGCCATCAGGAGCTTCCAATTTTACTTATAATAACTCCAATTTCCTGGTCATGGCCAAGAAGTCCATTGCCTGATCAATGGTCTATCTCACTGTCCTCGGTTCTTCCAAACATGGAAGCTGTTTGGAAGGGGAACTTCCTGTGCTTCACCACTCTGGCTTAATTTCTATTCTTTGAAAAAGTTAACTCATGAAGTTACAGCCCAAGGGCCCTTGTTTGTCCACCTCCTGGCCTGGAGGGACACTTCTCCCAGATTGCTATATGGGCTATGCCAGGTTTTCACATAGCTTTCATGGAACATCCTGTCTGAAGTGACTTTTCCTGCCTCATCTCACCAGTCTATCATGCTGTTCTGTTTTTTAGCATTAATACAACTCATCCTTTTCTTAACTTTTCTCCATGAGTTAATTGTTTTTTCTTTCCTTGTTTCTTATCTGTTTCATGCCTCCCTCTTCTGCAATAGAATCTCCAAGAGAGGATTCTCATTTGCTTTTCTCTGTGCTTTTACCCCAGGAAGGAACCTCTGCATGGTACAAAATAAGCATTAAAGTATTTATTTAATAAATACTCAGCTATCAAACTGAAGACCTTGGAATGAATTCAAACTGTGTCATTTGGCTATTTAATATTTATTAATGTCATGGATACTTTAAGAGGTGCTGGAAATAGCTTGAAAAAATACCCAGTTACTCACCTCAAGTACTTCAGGGTTAAATTTGGAGGCACACACATATAAATAGGCAGGTATAATCCAGTGTATTAATTACAACCAAAGGAGAGAGAATAATGGTATGTATGGAAACACAGAAAAGATGACCGAACTTTAGGAAGCCCAGGAATATTTCAGGGAGAAAGTTCCATCGAAACTGAGACTGTAGAATGAGAGTGAGTTCCAGGAGGTGATGCTGTGTTGATTTGGGGGCATATCTTATTCCATATGCACGGTCCTAGATATGAGGAGGAAGTTTGCTCATGTGGAGAACTGCAAGCTTCTCAAAGTGTCTGAAGCATTTGTGACAAAAGGACCCTCATCAGAAGTCGGTTACAGTGAGGTGAGTCTAAGATCACCAGGCTAAACAAAAGATCGAGGTGATGAGGTGGAGGAAGAATAGTGCATGCCACAGAAGTTAGTGTGTGGTACAGGTCCGCAGGTCATGCATGAAGGAAACATTAGTAGGAGGGAATGAGAAACCACATAAGGAGAACAGACAAAGATGAAACAGTCATGGAGCAGAGTTTATCGAGGACAAAGCTTTTGAAACCCTTCAAAATATTCTTTCCACCTATAGACATGTCTCCATGGGGCCAGGGATGGATATGTGACTTCAGTCACTTCCCTAGGGATTTTCAGAAATGGGGAGGGTAATACGACCTCTATTGTAATGGGCTCTAATGGGCTCAACAAAACCAAACTGAAACTAATAATGTTACAAGAAGCAGGACAAGTAATGTCTGGAGATCCGGTTCTAGTCCTGCCTTTTTGATGGGAACTTCAAAATTCCAATCATATTTCTGGTGGCCTTGGGATCTGATTATTGTCTGACTTGAATAGTAAGTTTGGAGACAGTTAGGTCCCCACAATTTGAAGTAGAATTTATATAATTTATTTCAGACTTACATCCAGGTAGAAACATCAGAAACAATATTTTGCTTCTTTCAGTTATTTTATGATTTGTTTGTTTGTTTTGCAGTAAGAGAGGGTGAAAGCAACATGAACCAGAAGTGAAAGCTTAAAACTGGAAACATTTCCCTGTGACCCCTAAGGGTGAGGACTTCTCATCCTCAGTCTGGATCTGACTTGTGATCCTGGACATGTTCCCCAGGCATCCTCGCTGGCTCCCCATTGCCTGAGCATGAAGTGGGCCGTGGAACACATGCTCTCCAATTCCTTCCTGACTCTGCTATTCTAGGTTTCAGCATAGGAAAGCCCAGATGCTACTGAAAAATGTGAACATATGGATATATTTCTGACCTGCTGGAGTACGCGCTGCCTCCTTAGTTACCAGGCAGAATGAGCTCATTACCCAGGATTTCACAGATGTCTCAGGTCTTCATTAGGAAAATTATTTGGATCACAATTTCTTAAAGGTTTTTCAAAATATTTTGCTTTGTCTCTCGTTTGATTCTTGTGCCTTTTAGTCTTTGGTGGGGGCAGGGTAAAAATAGAGGGGGAAAAACAGGGAAATTACCCCCTGATTCAAGCACTTGTTACAGAAAGAACACTGCCGTAAGTCGTATTATATGGAAAGTCTCCCAAAGGTAATAAGTTCAGATTTAAAAACATTTAGGATTGCCTCCTTGCTGACCAGCCCCAGGATAGGATGCTGGGGTGACAAAGAATAAGAAGACATGGGTTCTATTCTCTAGCAGCTTATGACCTGCTATGAAAGGATCACCAACAGGTCAGTCTGCTAAGTGTTAAGAGAAAGGTAAACATGGTTCTGTGGAAATTCCAAATGGCCCTGAACCTAGTTTGAGGGTTGCAATGTTTGCCCCAAGAATCTCTCATCGATTCCATGTGAATTAGACAAGGCTTTGTGTATGGAAATGCTTTATAAATATGTGATGAGAGACATATCTTTATCAATTGTTATGCTGTCAATTTCACAAATTTTCTCAGCACCAATGAACCATTTGATCACATTGTGAAGGCCCTCCTAAGGCCCTGGAATGTGTACTTGCCAACAAGATGACTTAGAGTTTAAGTTTTGTTATCTTTCCAATAGTTTGCAGGGTCCAGTTCAAAATAAAAATATGAGGCCCTTTATTCTTAAAGCATTAAAATTATCAAAGAATACATCGAGACTGTGAGCATCAGAGAAAACAGCTGAAGACACTGAGCCTGTGTCCATGGGTAATGACACACAAGTGTGACATGAGCTTCAGTGTGAATAGATCCTTATCCTCTTTAGCAGCTCTCAATTACAAATTTTCTAGGGCAGATCCCAGGAAGGTACCTGGTGGCTCTAAAGCAAACTCTTCTACAGGGATGGGAAAGCATGTAGCATTTGGTAATCATTGAATTCATTACCTTAGCTTTCTCTATTACCTGGATTTGTGGATTTGTCTCCATCTCCAACCCCTTCCCTTTCTGCTCACAGCTATTAGGGACCTATAGTGCATCAGTCATGGATCCATGCTAGAAAATTGCCCCAAGGATAACCAGGACCTGCTGGAGCACAGGTATGTGGGGACCTCAGTGACAAGGGCCAGGGGACTGCAGCAGTCCTCCAGTCAGTTAGCCACCGGTGCTCAGTGGAAAATCTAGGAAGAACCCGGGTCAACAAAATGGAGGTCAGGACATGTGGTAGTAAAAGGGTCATATTCCTTATATGTGAATCATTTGGAGTGTTGAACACCAGAGAGTAATTCTTAGAAACTTCTGAAACACCTCTCGAATACTGCTGATTGGACTAGAAATCTACTCAGGTAAATGAATGTCAGTCAGTCCAGTTCTAGGCAACTGGAGAGTGAAGCTAGGGGACGATGCCAGAGCTCCAAGGATTAGATTAGAGACCATGAACCACGTGATCTCTGGCTTGTGGATGAGCAATTGGCTCTTCCTCCCATGAGACACTGTGGTCAAGGAGACCTTGATCTGAATCCCAACTTACCCAATGGTGTGTTGTGAAATATTTCTTAAAGAATCTCTATATTAAGCTTTATATATTTATTGGTGAATTGAGGGCAACTGAATTGGCTTAGCCTGGATTTCTCAGAAAGCAGAACCTCAAAGAAAGGCTCAATTATAACACTATCTTTTGAAATCAGGAGTCAGTACAGGAGCCAAGCTGTGGGGCAGAATAAGTCAATGTCAAGGTACACATGGAGTCAAGTCCCTGGTTCCTTGAGCATCTCAGGACCTCCAATTCAAGAAAATAAATGGGGAAGCATTGATGCATTGATTAACCTATGATTCTGCACAGGCTGTGCTATGATCTGAAGATTTGTGTTTCCCCTAAATCATTTATGGAGATCTTAACCTCTAAGGTGATGGTATGAAGAGGCGGGGCCTTTGGAATGCAGTTAGGTCATAAGAGTTCCACCTTCCTGAATGAGATCAGTTCCCTTACAAAAGAGGCTTAAAGAAAACTGCTCTTCCTGTCATGTGAGGACGGACAGAAGACACCATCTATGAGGAACAGGCTGTCACTAGACGCCAAATCTGACACCTCGTTCTTGAATGTTCTGTCCTCCAGAACTGTGAGCAATATGTTTTTGTTGTGTGTAAATTACCCAGTCTGAGGTATTTTGTTGTAGCAGCAAGAATGGAGTAAGACAGATTGATAATAAAATACCATAAACTGAGTGGCTTAAACAACAGGTGTGTATTTCTTAAGTGCCAGAGGCTGAGAAGTTCAAGATCAAAGTGCTGCTAGCCAATTTGATTTCTGGTGAGGGCCCTTTTGCTGGCTTGCAGGTGGTAGTCTTTTTGTTGTGTCCTCACACGGCAGAAAGAGAGAGAAAGAGGGCTCATGAGTGCCCTGCTCTCACGGCTTCATCTAAACCTAATTACCTCCGAGGACTCTGCCTTCAAATACCATCACATTGGAGGTTAGGGCTTCAACATATAAATGTGGGAGGACAAACATTCAATTCATGAACTCCTATTTATTGTTTTATTGTTTCGTTTTGTTTTTTTGAGACAGAATCTCGCTCTGTCACCCAGGCTCTCAGGCTGGAGTGCAGTGATGCGATCTTGGCTCACTGCAACCTCTGCCTCCTGGGTTCAAGAAAATTCTCCTGCCTCAGCCTCCAAGTAGCTGAGATTACAGGTGTGCATCACCATGCCGAGCTAACTTTTTATTATATTTTTAGTAGAGGTGGTGTTTCGCCTTATTGGTCAGGCTGGTCTCGAACCCCTGAGCTCAAGTGATCTGCCCTCCTCGGCCTCCCAAAGTCGTTCATTGTTACTCAAAGCTTTACTCTTGGGGCTGCTAACTCCCCTATATTTCTAGGTCGCATGTAGAGGTGAACCCCAGTGGATTCCTATGATGTCCTTTGCAGTAGTGTCAACAGAGAAGTCCCAGATGACAGAACTGGCAAGGATCTGAGGTGGGACACTAACAGGATGCAGTGCATCTTAAAATAGGGACTGTTGCAATTGTGGCTAAAATAAGGGACAGGAAAGGCTGAGAGGATCTGAAATATTACACAAGATGTATTCAAGGCAGGCAGCTATATGCAGGTTTATTTGAGTGTTTATTTTAAAAAACAAAGGCACAAAAGAATCATCCAATGCCGAGTGAATGTTTGCTTCCTTCTCTACCTTGCCTTTTCTCTTCAGATGCATTGCATTCCTCATTCTTTACAATTAAGATAAAAACCATTAGAAGAGCAGCCCTTACACCCAGTCCTCAACTAGTTACAGATGATGGAGCCAAAGAGTTAATGTAATTACAAGACCTATGCAGTTTATCTTTCTTTAAAAAAGTGCTCTCAATATTCGACACATGTGCTGAGTTTTAATAATTTTTCAATAACTATCACCCCAGGAGCCCATATTAAAGCCATATCACAGTGGGTTCATCCCCATGAATGCTCTCCACCTCAGTAAAAATGCCTTCAATCCAATTAGTCTGTGCAATTTAATTTGTTCAATGCAAATCACTGGAGTTTAATTGAATTCCATTAGACACAAATCAATAGAAATCAATTTCAAGAGATTATCCTCAACATTCATCAATAGAATTAAATTAAAATTAAAGAAGATTTACCTAACTGGCTGACATGTTTCTAAAATTTACTGCAGGTTACTATGGTATCAGATGGTTAGTGGTCATTTTGGAGGTTATGTATAGGCTACTAATAACTTGCTGTCACTATTGGAGCTGGAGAAGAACTTACGAAAAAAATAAATGGAAACTATATTATATACTTTTAAAGAACTTCACAAACAGATGGTTTGTCTTCGCAACACCCAGAAAAAGTAGGCCACAGTAAGTTTATCTTCAAAGGCGAGACTGAGGCTGAATTATGTTGGGTGACTTGATTATAGGTCTCAAGAATGCTAGGATGTGGATGTCTGTTCAATGACATTTTGATGTCTCCACTTTCTGCGAACCCTCGTCTCTCACCTGCACCATGAAAAGTATTTGCAGTCATCTCTCTGCTTTTTTTGGCAGCCATCTCTCTGCTTTTGCTTTTGTGCTTCCGCTATGTGTTCCTAGTAGAACTACCAGGGTGATCTTTTTAAAAACATAATCACGATAGTTAAATGGCTTACAATGTGCTAAGCACTGTTTTAAGTTCTTTTATGTATTAACTCTCATTTTTACATCTACTTTAAGTGCAGGTGCTATTACTATCTCCTATTCACATGCACGGAAGGTGAGGCACAAAAGGCTTCCATTAGTGAAGGTTCTCCTGAGAAGCCAAACCAACAGGATATACATAATGAAGAATGGTGATGAGCCTCACATGACTATGGAGGCTGAGAAGTCCCACAGTCTGTCATCTGTAAGCTGGAGATCCAGGAAAACCAGTGGTGTCTGAAAGGAAATTAAATCTTGGGACTCCAAACTCATTAAGTCAAAGGGTGAAGTCAAGCTGGGAACTAGGTCACACAAACTTGCCTCCTCCTTTTTGTTCCTAAATAAGATGGCTAGAGGATGAAAAGCTACATGCCTACCCTATATTTTTCCCACAAGGAAATTCCTAGTGAGCTGCAAGAGCTTTTAAGGTGTTTCTGTCAAAATTTTACCACAGCAATGTAAATTGATAGCTTATTTTAACAGGTGCAGTCACACCCCTGCCCCCCAGCTGGCCCACTAGACACAAATACATATCTGATTGTTCCCCTGTCCCATTTTGTCTATGTTGTCTCATATAAAACACAAATTCCCTATATTTTTCCTCTGCTCCATTTGTCTATGTCATCTTATGTAAAAAATGCAGGCTCACCAAGCCAGACAAAGGCATGAATGACTATTTTTCTCTACCCACCTCCTACATGAAAATTGTGTACTTCTCAATACCCCGCCCTTTCCCCTTTAAAATTGGAGCCCTCCAAATCATCTTTTGAGAAAGGCATAGACCTGTCTCCTGGGTACATGTCCTTAACTTTGGCAAATAAACCTCCTAAGTGATTGAGACTTGTGTAGTAATTTTTCTTGATTGACAGGTGTAACATCAATTCTTCTCTGAAGTCCTGAAAACCAGGGGAGGCTATGGTGTAAACCCCAGTTAAAGGGTGGGAGAAGACCAGTGTCCCAGTTCAAACAGGCAGGCAGGAACTGTACCAATCCTCCCTCTTGTACTTTTTTTCTATTTAGGCCTTCAATGGATTGGATGATGCCCACCCACACTGGGAGAGCCATGTTCTTATACTGAGTCCACCGATTCACATGCTAATCTCATCCAATACACCTTAATAGACACATCCAGAAATAAAGTTTATTCCAGGCCCCCCAAACCCAGTAATGTGACACATAAAAGTAACCATTGCAAGGGTTAAGTAACCTGACCAAGGTTACTAAGCAAATAATTGTCAGAGCCAGGGTTTAAACTCAGGCAGTCTGATCTATGGCCTGTTTACTTATCCTGAATATGACTATATCACTGCTTAAAGTCCAACATTGGCTCCCCATTAAAATTTAAAACAAAATATGGACTCCTTAAGAAAGGCAGAATAATTGTCTGCTGCCTTCTCTCTGATCTCATCTTTAATAACTCCTAAACTTCCTTCTAGCCACATGAGCCATCCTAAAGTTCCAAATGTATTCTTTATTGAGAAAAGCCTTGGCAAGGCTTCTTCTCAAATTCAGGTAATGAGTTCCCAGGAAATAAAGACTTGGTATTCTCAAAAAGGATAACTGAAAAAAAAAATTAATGAATAGGATACTTACAAATGTACGGCTTCGTTAAGGAAACTAAGAAGGGTCAGTGAATATACCTGGGAATGGCATGTGGGAAAGCTCATTACTATCTTTAACTCTGAAACAGCAAGAGAAGAAACAACTATCAGAACTTAGCAGTAGCTTTAGCTTTGGGGATGGATCAACTGGGAAAAGATTGGTTTACATAGGGGAGAACTAACTGACAAATTTCAGCAAGGAGGGTGTGGCTTTGAGGTTGATCATCCTGGTCTCATTCTGTTTCCTCTCTGAGCTGCTGATCACCTGCTGTTATTGCTCACTAATTGGAGCCAAGTGGTAATCAGAAGCAACTCAACTGTTGGCCTCCTATATGTGAATATGTGTAAGAAGGGATGACAGAGTGCTCGTGGAGAGGCAAACAGAATATCCGTAACAAAGAAGACTTCCTTTAACATCTTTATTCATGATAGTAAGCTCCCCTATTTCAGTGACTAATAAAATATCTTAATATGATTTATTTTTCTTTCAAATTGGTTTAAGTTCCTTGTAGATGCTGGATATTAGACCTTTGTCAGATGCATACTTTGCAAATATTTTCTCCCATTCTTTAGGTTGTCTCTTTATTCTGTTGGTAGTTTCTTTTGCTGTTGTAGCTCTTAAGTTTAATTAGATCCCACTTGTCAATTTTTGCTTGTGTTGTGATTGCTTTTGGCATCTTCATCATGCAATCTTCTCTAATTTTTTTTTCTTTGTGCCCATTATTTGTTTCAGTGTATATATATATTTTTTTCTTTTTTATTATTATTATTATACTTTAAGTTCTAGGGTACATGTGCATAACGTGCAGGTTTGTTACATATGTATACTTGTGCCATGTTGGTGTGCTGCACCCATCAACTCATCAGCACCCATCAACTCGTCATTTACATCAGGTATAACTCCCAATGCAATCCCTCCCCCCTCCCCACCCCATGATTCTTCGCTCATTTTTATGTCTAGAATGGTCTTGCCTAGGTTGTCTTCCAGAATTTTTATAGCTTTGAGATTTACATTTACTCTTTAATCAATCTTGAGTTGATTTTTGAATATGGTGTAAGGAAGGGGTCCAGTTTCAATGTTCTGCATATGGCTAGCCAGTTACTACAGCACCGTTTATTGAACAGAAAATCCTTTCCCTATTATTTGTTTTTGTCAACCTTGTTGAAGATCAGATAGTTGTAGGTGTGCAGCCTTATTTCTGGGCTCTCTGTTTTGTTCCATTGGAGTATGTGTCTCTTTTTGTACCAGTACCATGCAGTTTTGGTTACTGTAACCCTGTAGTGTAGTTTTCTGAAATCAGAAAACATGATGCCTCTAGCTTTGTTCTTTTTGCTTAGGATTGCCTTGGCTATTCAGGCTCTTTTTGTTTCCATACGAATTTTAAAAGAGTTCCTTCTAGTTCTGCGCAGAATGTCCTTGGTAGTTTGATAGGAATATCATTGAATCTGTAAATTTCTTTGAGGAGTATGACCATTTTAATGATATTGATTCCTCCTGTCCATGAGCCTGGGATGTTTTTACATTTTTTTCTTGATGTCATCTCTGATTTCTCTGAGCAGGAATAGAACAAAAAAAACCATTTAAAAAGTGGGCAAAGACATGAACAGTCACCTTTCTAAAGAAGACATACATGTTGCCAACCAGCGTATGAAAAAAGGTCAGTATCACTGATCATTAGAGACATGCAAATCGAAACCACAATGAGATACTATCTCACATCAGTCAGAATGGCTATTAATAAAAAGTCAAAAAACAACAAATGCTGACAAAGTTGTGGAGAAAAGGGAACACTTATACACTGTTGGTGGAAATATAAATTAGTTCAACCGTTGTAGAAAGTTGCGTGGCAATTCCTCAAAGCTAAAAACAGAACTATCTTTTGACCCAGCAATTCCATTACTGGGTATATACCCAGAGGAACGTTAATCATTCTACCATAAAGGCACATGCATGCAAATGTTCATTGCAGCACTATTCACAATAGCAAAGACTGAAATCAACCTAAATGTCCATCAATGACAGATTGGGCAAAGAAAATATGGTACGTATGCCCTATGGAATACTATGCAGCCATAAAAAAGAATGTGGCAACATGGAGGCCATCATTCTTAGCAAACTGACACAGGAACAGAAAATCGAATACCACATGTTCTCACTTACAAGTACGAACTCAATGATGAGAACTCATGGACACACAAAAAAGGAACAGCAGACACTGGGCCCTACTTGAGAGTGGAGGGTGAGAGAAGGGAGAAGAGCAGAAAAAATACCTATTGGGTCGTAGGTTAAGTACTTGAGTAATGAAAAAATCTGTACAACAAACCCCTGTTACACAAGTTTGCGTATATAATAAACCTGCACATAAACCCCCAAACCTAAAATAAAACTTAAAAAAATATATCCTACAGTGTTAAATGGCAACGATTTGCATGTCTTTGTTGTAATATCCCATATTCAAATAAACTATTGCTTTATATTCTCCCCATTGTTTTCTTCCACTTAAACACTAACGTAAGTTCCTCAGGGATGAAAATGATTGCTTTTAGTTTGCGACTCAGTGCCTGGATCAGTGTCTAGTATTAGAATATTGTTCAAATAGGGTTCTTGAATTCATGAATAAAATGTTTGGAAAGAGATATGAGAGAATGAATGGGTCATAGGTTCAGACATTTATTGAGTAAATTTATGTGGGTAAAATGCACAGGGACTGTTAAGGACTAGGGGCTGATCAAAGCTACACACATTCCCACCTCTTCAGCAGTTCCTGTCCAAGGGAGTGTCTGGCACATGTAGTTCAACATTCCAGAGTCAGCCTTGTTCCTGTCTACTGTTCCATTTTTAGATGACAAATCACTAGTCTTTGGAATGAAATAATTGAAAGAAATTTTAATGACTATATGGACAAAGGATTCTCAAAACTTTGAATGACAACCATTTGGGAATCTTGCAAAAAATGCATATTTCATGACCTCACTCCAGAACTTCTCTTTCAGTAATCCTACTCTGGGGCTTAGAAATCTGCTTTATCTTAAGTTTCCTAAATGACTCAGGGATAGATGGTCATCAGACAAAATTTCCAGAAATGTTGATTTAGACCAACATCCTGCTCACTGTGAGAACCCTTTGTATATCATTTTTCTTGAAGTCTAGTAACTTGATTTCTATCAGTGACAGCAAGTTCACTATGTTATACCAACAGTGTTCCTAGTCTTACATTTTGTGCAGTGACTCTTTGAGTGGACTTCAAAATTCCACAACATGCACTTCTAGTTAAATATTCTGTTAAATTGCATTTGAAAGCATTTCTCACTGAAATACTTCAGAGATCCAGTAGGAAAGTAGAAGAAGTTTAAAATATAAAATGGGAGTGGGGGTGGGGAGATGTTAGTCAAAGGATACACAATTTAACTTACGAGGAATAAGTTCATGAGAGTTGTTATATAACATGGTGGCTAGAGTTACTAACAATGTATTTTTTTTTTTAACCATTCTAAATAATTGATTTTATTTTGGATAAACAAAGGTGAAGTTCTACCAAAATAACCTTGGTTCAAAGGAGAAAATTCTTGTGTTTAGATTTAAAGTGAGCATATCAATAACCATCAATGAAAAGCAATAAAATTATCCCTCAAATATTTCCAGTTTACTGCCATTTATATAGCCTGTTACCTATATGATCCTCATTTAATTTTCTTTTTTTTTTAATTTTTTAATTTTTTTATTATTTTACTTTAAGTTCTAGGGTACATGTGCATAATGTGCAGATTTGTTACATATGTATACTTGTACCATGTTGGTGTGCTGCACCCATCAACTCGTCAGCACCCATCAACTCGTCATTTACATCAGGTATAACTCCCAATGCAATCCCTCAATGTATTATATTATTCATGTCCTTTGCTGGAACATCAATGAAGCTGGAAACCATCATTCTCAGAAAAGTAACACAAGAATAGAAAAACAAACACCGCATATTCTCACTCGTGATTGGGAGTTGAACAATGAGAACACATGGACACAGGGAGGGGAATATCACACACCGGGGCCTGTCAGGGGGTGGGAGACTAGGGGAGGGATAGCATTAGGAGGACCAGTTAATGTGGTTAATATTTTGTATTAGAAGGAAAAAGAAGAGATGTGCTGGGCAAAAGAGGCAAATATAGATTTTTTTAAAAAGAAATAAAAATCTGAGCTAATATTAATAAGGATGAAGAAGGAAAAAGTGATAACATCATGTGGAACATTCCAGAAGTTATATGCAGGACTCAGAAATGGGGGCAACACACCAATAGCATGTGTATACAAGGCCAACCCCTTCCTCTCCATTCCCAGAAATCTGGTAGTGGGGCACTGTATGTATACAGGTAATATGTTAAATAAATGGGCTGTGCTGGATGCTATGGTTGCAGAATGTGGTTGAAGTAGAATTGCGAAGCCAACAAAGCAAGGGTTGGGGCAGAGTTTATGAGTTATGTGAAGTTTGTGTAGGAATTGAGAATTTTGAATTTTAGACATCCTGTGTCCTACACGGCAACTCCTCCACCCCCACCAGTCATGTCTGGTGGACGCAACTATAGCAGTCGTAATATGCCTACATTAAGAGAAGGAGGAAGTTCTATGTAATGAAAACTCACTTTCCAAGTTGACCCTTCTTAATCCTCTGCTGGAAAAACAGTGTACTGTGATGCCCAAGGGCATGGTTTTATCCTTTGGTGCCACTATTCATCATATCCTCATTGCATTGGAAAAATTAATTGATTACTCTGGACTTCACTTTTCTTGTCTGTCAAATTGAAATTCCATTACCATTCATTTGAAAAGATCTGATGTGATTTAAATGAGATTATATCTTGTGTGGATCATTGCTCAGCACGTGATAAGCACTCAGAAATTTTAGTTAAATAAAAACAACACTAATACCAGTACTACTAAAAATGAGCACTAAAGTAATCACTTGAGTTTTATTTAAGCAAAAACATAGTTTTCTTTCATCTTTCTGTAAAATTGTTCAACAACAAAATATTAATATTCATAGATGATTTCAGAGTTTATAAGAACTTTTGTGTGCTGCTCACTTATCAGAGCAACTCAGTTGGATCTTGTTATTAATTTCCTCACTTTAGAAATGAAGGGACTGAGATCAAGAAAAGGAAGTGACTTGCTCAAGGATACATACACAACAAGTAACCATGCCAAGAATTCTTATTTGGTGTGTGATTTCCCCCAATCAGTGACTATAGATATATATAGATACATAGATGTATCTATCTATCTATCTATCTATCTATCTATCTATCTATCTATCTATCTATCTATCTAGATATCTAGATATGTAGATGTGGAGACAGATACTACACCTATGTATTCCATATCTATGTATATATCTATGCTATTTGTATGTTCCATTTCGGATATCTTCTCACATTCAGATATCTAGTGTCCACATGTTTTTTCCTGGATTCCTTTCTAAACACAATCATATGGCAAACCAAGTGAGTTCTGCAATAAACTTTAAGATTTAATATAATACATTTTCAGGGAGGGTGTGGGCAGAAATATTGTGTGACTTTAAATTTTCTCAGCAAATAAGTGACTTGTTTCCTAAGATGCAGTTGTTTTTCTTCATTTTTTTGTAACTCTTTTATGTTTCATGAAATTACTCGATTTCATTTTAACTGTGTCACAATTTTAACTGTGTCACATCCCAGCTCTCAGAGGGTAGCCAAAATTTGGAAACAAAATATTGTTTTGCTAATTCCCATTTGTTTTGAGATTTTTCATTTGCTTATTCATGACCACATTTAACTTTATATCCTTAAAAATGTTCCTTAACAGGATGTTTACCTTCTTGCTTGATCAGCACCAAATCTGGGACACTTGGGTAGGTTTTTATTGACTATACCCAGAATATGTTAATAGTTCTTACATTAAGGGGGAAAAACAACTTAATAAGATAATTGCTCATGATAAGACCAGGTAATTTATAAAAGTATACATGGGAGACGTCTGACATAATAAAAATGCACTAGAAATGAAGGATATATAAATTAAAGAAACAGATACAATTTTTAATCTGTAAATGAGAGGTTTTAAAATAAATTTAAAAAATTATAATGATAACATTTTGGTGGGGAAAGGTGTTCACTAATACACGAAGATAGGAATACAAATTTCAGAAGTACTTATAAAAAGCAATGTATCATCATTTTTAAGTCCAAAATTATAAATTCATTTTCATAATAGATACATTTGACAAACAATTAGATATTTCTCCCGTATCTTCCTCTCCCATCCTCTGTATTCTCACTGGGAGAGGAGACAAGCTAAGAAAAGAAGATTGAAAATTGTTTCTAATTTTATTTGAAGGAGAAAAATCCCTGTGAAAACAAGTATTACGATGCACAAATTGTAATCCACACTCGAAATGGAAGGCTATGGATCAAGCTCTCCCAGTCCTGTATGTTTATTTTTATGTGTGTTAGGTGTGCAGAACAACGGTCAATAGATGGTGTCCGCTGGGCGTGGTGGCTCATGCCTGTAATCCCAGCACTTTGAGAGGACAAAGTGGGCGGATCACTTAAGGTCAGGAGTCCAGGACCAGCCTGGCCAATATGGTGAAACCCCGTCTCCATTAAAAATACAAAAATTAGCCAGTTGTGGTGTCAGATGCCTGTAATCCCAGCTGCTCGGGAGGCTGAGGGAGGAGAATCGCTTGAACCCAGGGAGCAGAAGTTGCAGTGAGCCGAGATTGCAGCACCAACGCACTCCAGCCTGGGTGTCGCAGTGAGACTCTGTCTTGGAAAAGAAAAAAATAAAAGAAAGAAAAGAAAAATAGGTGGTGTCAGTTGTTTCTCTGAAGAATTTTATACGGCCCACTGACTTTCTCTGATCTGTCGCTGGCATACATAATGCTACCTTTTAAAACTAATTAGTTGTGCTCCTTTGGTATAATTAATAAGCAATAACCACACTGTTGTTTGAGGATGCTAACATTTTAATGTCTTCTTGTTATCTGACTCACTTGGATACTGAGGAGTATAATGGTTCCACAGGGTCATAAAGTAGACGGGACCCTTTTTAGCTTTATTGTTATTGCCAACTCTAGCCTATTTTTGACTGTGGTGTTGAACCATTTCAGATAATTGAGATAGTTACGGGCACTGGGTAAGAAATAGTTATGACATGAATGTGAATACAAGGTGATTACATTTATTGCCTGTGTCTTCACAATTAGAATGAGAAATTTAAGATAAGAAATTTAGCTCAAACGATTCTGGCTCTTTAAGCTAATTAAATACGTTGAAGTCTCCTAAAGCCTTATTTTGATATTCGTTAGTGGACAGAGAAGTTTGGGATACTCCGAAATGTGCTAGTTCCCTGTAGTCTAGAACAAAATAGAAATCTAATCCACCCATTCAACATATACTCACTAAGTACATGACACTAAGTGCTGGGTCCTTTCCTGAGAATTGAAAATATAGTCTCCACTTACATGTAGCTTTCAGAAAACATCATAGACTCTCAAAATTAGTGATAGAATTAAAAGGTATCTAGTCCAACTCTCACTGAATCCTTGAGTAGCAAACCCGAAGACCTCATCCAATAGCTCTTCAGCCTGGAATTCGACACCACGAGCTTTGTTTAACCTTACAATTTTCTTTGGGGCATTACAAGAGGTCCGTCTCTTCTTTCACAGGGAAATGTTCTGTTATTATGCAAACCAAACCTGATTTCTCACATGCCTGTTCATTCTGCTGTTTATTGTATAACATGATTTTGAATCCTTCCAGGACTCTTCCTGTTTGGGTCTGTATATTTGTCTGTGGGTCTGTATGGCTTCTTAAGTCTGATGTCTAAAATGGAATTCAACTGTCTTGCCATGATTCTGTCAACAGAGACAGGGACTATTGGACTATGACCACATCCTTCATTCAAGATAGTATCTTTTTAATATAAACCAAGTTCACCTTGGAATAAAGGAAAAAGAAAACAACATATAAACATTGACATAGAAATTCGTCTGTCAAGGAAATCAGTTCAACTCTACCATGAGGAGCTTTACCTCCTCAGTCACTGTGCTGACAACAGGGAGTGGGTACACGGCTGGAGCATCAGAGATTGCTTCCCTAGAGAAGTCAGCTTAGCTGGGCCTTAACAATGGGATACACTTCAAAGAATAAAGAAAGATTTTAATGAATAGAGAACTTTACAAAATGTCGAATACCAAAGATAGAGGTGGAACTGCTGCTTTGAATTACCCAAAAAGACAAGTCATCAAAATCAGAATGCACTGACCCACCTGAGATGTACAAGGCCCTGTTGTCCTCCAGGAAGTTGCAGCCTACCAGTAATGAGCACATGTAGACATCTTGTTCACACAGACCAGAGCAGGTCACTGTTAACTGTGCCTCTTATGGCAGCACTGAGCTAATAGTGGTTAATTCTCCCTGGAGAAAATTGGAAATGGCTTCCCAGAAGGAGAAAACTGGTGCCAATTTTTAAAAATAGCTAAAATATATCCTATATTTATATTTTGCCAGCATTGTGCTAAGAGTAATATGTGTCACTTTTTATTTCTTGCACAGATTCTAATACAGAGGTATTATTCCCTTCCTTCCTTCCTTCCTTCCTTCCTCCCTCCCTCCCTTCCTTCCTTCCTTCCTCCCTCCATCCCTCCCTCCCTCCCTTCTTTCCTTCCTTCCTCCCTCCCTCCCTCCCTCCCTCCCTCCCTCCCTCCCTTCCTTCCTTCCTTCCTTCCTTCCTTCCTTCCTTCCTTCCTTCCTTCCTTCCTTCTTTCCTTCCTTCCTTCCTTCCTTCCTTCCTTCCTTCCTTCCTATATGTAATATGAATGTACTCGATCTAATACGTTGTGTTTTAGATAAGGAAAGTTGAGGTTTTAGAGATATAAATCTGGTGTATAACTTACCAGGGTCCCAAAGCAAGCCAGTGGCATAACAAGGTAAGAACCCGGACAGTTTGACTCAAGACTCTTCAGTCACTACTACATAGCACTAATTCTGTATTATGCTTGGCCAATCCATAACCAGTGGTTTATGGGCTTGTCATTAACTTTCCATTCACCTGAAATTAGTTTTGACACTGAATTATGGCTTTACGTTA